TCAAAATGTTCACTGTTCACCATACGATTTTCAAGGGCTGGATTCAGGGCTAAAGTGCTTAAGGTTTATGGGGTGTTGCAGGAAGCATGCGATGGATTCTAGCTGAGTTTGTCCGGGCGTCTGAAGCTTCAAGGGGTGCACGCTAGGCTCAGGCACAAGTCTGAACCCAAACCCTGAAACAAGCTCTATATCATCGAAGTTCAAGCAGGCAACGCACAAAGCATGAGGAGGGGTTCGTTTGCCCATCGAACCTCAGGTAACAACGGCAGTTGCAAGGTTGTGGTGGCCTACGTATTTTCAGGGTTTGTGGATGAAAAAATTAAAGGTTTGGGTAGAAGGCTTTAGTTTAGGGTTAGAGCTAATTATAGGCTACAACACCTGAGCCCCGCAGGCCTCAACTCATCGGCCCTGAAGTCATCTACAATCCATCCGCTTATTACTCGTGGATCACTCTTAGGGTTATTTAATACGTGTCTTGAGAAATAATCCAAACGGAACCTCGGAGACACTAGGAAGAGAGACGAAACACGGCCTTCGGTCGAGAAAACAAGATTACCCGAATTGCTTCGCCAACGTCTTCTTTAGAATATCTCCCCCCCCGATTTCCGTAATCTTGACAATGTCTCCCCCCAATCTCCCCAATCTTTACCATGTCTCCCCCGCCAATTTCCCTAATCTTTACAATACCTCCCCCTAATTTCCCGAATCTTCCTCGTCGCCCTAAGCCAATTTACAGTAGAAGCCAGAAAGTTGGAATATCATTATCGTAACCCCTTTAAGGTAAATTATAGGGGATCCTACCATTAATCCATATTCCAACTTTCTGGAGTTCCCTTTACATCAATTTTACCATAGCCCTGGGGCCTTGGAGTCCACGAAGCACTGCGCCCCTAATACGCGAAACAGCCTGAGTCCACCGCTAGTCTAAAACGGCTACAGATATGGTGAAACCCTAGGAATCTAAGGACTCCATATATTAAGGCTTTTGGGCCCAAAGACCATACTATATCAGGCTTTTGGGCTATTTTGATCCCCAAAGTTATGGTGAAATAAACCTTGAGAACCCTGTTCCAAATAATCAAGACCCTAAACCCTAAACCCGGGGTGCTCCTGTGGGTCACTTACCCGACAGTCAGGATCTGCAGGGTCGATATCTCTACAACCCCAAACACTCAGACCCGAAACCCATCCCCTGACCTCTAAACCCTCAACCCCATACTCTCAAACCAAAGAGCGTACAAATGGCGTCGTAAATGCCATGGCCAAACCTGACGATTGAATCGCAATGCTCCGGGTTCAACAGCTCACAGGTTCAGTCTGGGTGTGTTGCTTCTGTGCTTTTTGGATTCCAGGTTCAGCATTCGGGGGTTTAGAGGTTCGGGTTCAGGGGATAGGGATTTACGGGTTTGGGGGGGATGTTCAGGGGTTTAGAGGTTCAGGATTTACGGGTTGAGTGGTTTAGATATAGTTCAGGGTTGGCGACAAGAAGATGGCGCAGGACAGGTGTAGGGTCCGGCAGTTTACCAGAGTCGCATTGGCCTGAGGATGACTCACGAGAGCCCAATACCTCGTCAAGGAGTACACCTTTCATATTACAGGGACCGTCATATTATGATATGAGGAAATTTGGATTGCTATGGGTTCAGGGATATAGGTGAACTCATGAGGATGTGAATATTTAGATCTAAGGCACAATGGCTGCGTTAAGCGTGTTGGGCTCTCTCGGAAGGGTCTTGAGGCTCACCAGTTTAGCGTAAACCTTATACCATTTCAATGCTTAACACCCTATAAACCTTTCAGTATCTAACCCTGAACCCTCAACCGTAAGAAGCTTGCTTTTTCAACTCCCCGAGTGCCAGACATGCACGAGGGGTGTTGTAAAGGGTTTGGGGGTGGATTTAGCAGACACCCCCCTCCGCATTCAAAAGAATCTCACAAATATCTGGAAGAATGCTCAATGGGGCCAATCATGGCCCATGCCCAAGTGCAGATCTCTGTTTGTGGAGCTGCCAAAACCTGAGTTGAAGAAACCATCCGCGCCATATTGTGTCCTTCATGATTAGAACTGGGTTTTGGATTACATTATACCCTAAGCCCTAAAGCCTACGCTCTGAAGCCTAAACCCTAATATAGTTCCACCATACACGGATTATAACTATAACGCCATCTTCGTGTTGAAGTGTTTCGAAAGCCCCTGATGTTGATTCCGAATCGACAGTTTGCGGTCATGCCGTTCACCTGCTGAACCCAAACCCTTAAGGGTTTAGGGGTTTAGAGTTAAGGCTTTAGGATTAATACAGGGGCCTGAATCATTAGAATAGGGTTATGGGGCCCATTATATTACAGTTATAATAAGGAATTTACACCCCTGTAGCAGGGTTAAGTCCACCAAGTCTGAGGCCGAGAAACATCATCAATACGAAGCCGACATACCTGGAACGGTGCAGGACTCCGGTACTTAGCATTTCGGCCTGGTCCAAAAAAATCTGCCGTTTGTGACTGCATCCTTGCGCGGCACCATATCACTGAAGTGATTACCCCAGACCAAAAAGCACGATTTTCTAACCAACCTCAAACTTCAGGCTGTTGAACGCAGAGCTTTGGAACACGGACATGCCCAACTTACAACCCTTGCAAGCCCTACTTCCGCCTGAAACATCCTTCGAAAGGCGACGAGAAGCACCAGGCCCAGAGGGACACCCTACGTTTCAACTGCAACTGTAATTTGACCTTCAGGCCTTGTGTTATGAAAGATGCAACCCGGCTGCTTCATGTACCAGCGTTTGCCCCCGGGAGAGAACATGGAGACCGCCAGGAAGAACGCACAAGTGCCTGCACGTGTCACAAGGGAAGACCTCCAAATGAGTACCAACCTTGGGGCCTCAATGATTAACATAAGGTTTTGTGGTATACTATATTATAGTAACCCCCAAAATAGTACCGGTAGTTATTTCGGCAGTAGATGACTAGGTTGGTGCCAAAGCAATGGTGATGAACCAACCCATCCAACATCCCTGCAGGATGCAACGGCTTCCGAGTAAAACCATGGTGAACCTCGGACAAGTCCTCCGCTGGCCAGGGTGGTAATCTTCTGATACTACTGCTAATACTACTAGAAATCGGGGTACTACAACTACAACTACAACTACTGCAGCCGCTGCTGCTGCTGCCGCTACTACTACTACTACTACTACTACCACTACTACTACTACTACTACTACTACCACTACCACTACCACTACCACTACCACTACGACTACGACTACTACTACGACTACTACGACTACTACTACTACTACTACTACTACTACTACGACGACCTACTATCTACTATCTAGTAACGACTATCTACAATCTACGATCTAATATATGCCTACTTTCTACTACCTACTCTACTTCTACTTCGACTACTACTACAACCTACTCCTACTGCCACTGCGACTGCTCCTGCTGCTCCTACTCCGACTCCGACTCACACTCCACTCCCACTCCGACGCCCACTCCCACTCCCACGCAATCGAGACATGCTCTCCTGGCCGAAACGTAGAAAAAGCTATAGTTTCTTCTGCTAAGAAGGCAAAGGGACAGGCCTTCTGGACAGAAGCGATTAGAAATAGATTTTCTTGAGCTAACAACCGACCAGAAGAAGGCAACTGGGACAGGACGTTCAGACCGAAACGCGTAGAAAAAAGTTCTTCAGGTAACGGGACAGGATCTCGTATTTGTGTTAACACATACCACTAAACTAAGATTGCATGTCTCGGAAACTGAAAAGTTTATTAAAGCTCGTCTTCGCCAAGGCTCTTCCGACCTGATAACGCAAACTTCCTGAACGAATCTCAGAAACATACCGAAAATGCCACATGGCTGGTTGTCAAAAATTATGGTCCCTTTTTTGGGTACCCTAAAATATTAGGTGCCGGATTATAATAAGGACCCAAAAAGCGGCACCCACATATTTCGAGGAGCCCTGTACTCCAGCACTCCAGCAGCAGCAGGGCCACAAGAAAATGCGGGCAACGTTTCGAAAGTTCATGACAAATATCTCCACACTGAAGGAAGCGGGACATTGCAATTGAAACCTACGAGTATTCGTAGAAACATGAGGCAACGTTGTTGCTGTTTATGTTAGAAGCTGCCCCCACCCTGTAATAGTGACTATAAGGATTACATTAGGGCCCTATTATATTCCCATTATACCACTATTACAGGGTGGGGGCCCCTTCCTAAGGTATTCGTAAGAACATGACACAACGTTATTGCTGCTTATGGCTACCATCGTCTGGCTGGAACTGTTAGTGTTGGTGTGGTCTGAAACGTGAAGGCAGGCTGCTTACCCTAAGGCTCCATGTGACTATATAGTATATACTTAGGCCTTAAAGTACCTATATAGGGAGCCCTTTAAGGTTTAAGTATCTACTATAATGGTGCAAACTTTAAGGCTTAAGTATCTACTATAATGGTACAATCCCCTAAACCCTAAACCGAAACCCGAAACCCTAAACCCTGATCCATGGAGCCTTTGGGTTAGAGGTCAGATCCAGAGAAGTTTCCACGCACGAAACCCAGACCTTCCAAAATCCCTTAATTATGGAATATACCTTAAATCATATTAGGGCCCTACTATAATATAAGGAATATTCCTTAATTAAGGGATTTTGGAAGGTCTGGGTTCAAGCCAGGTCCGGTGTCCGCCAGATCCGGAAACCAAATCCAGTCTTTTAGGAAAGTCAATTCTAGGGAGTAGGGGTTTTTTTTTTTTTATGGGCTCTTTTCCGCCTGCAGATACAGTTAGAACTCCTATACTAGGAGGAGCCAGTGGTTAGGGCCTCATTGTGCAGACAACAATGACATCATTTATAACCCCGGATAACCCCTGAGGCCCCAACCAGCTTTGCCACTTTCCCTTTTGCGATTGCTTTGGCGACTCCGACTTTCCATGTGGCACCACATGACCTAATCAAGTCCTGCATTACAGATAGACACAGATATCACCACTATTAGTCGCTCGAGTCGCTCACATCTCTGTCTTCGCTTGGATGACCATACCGTTCAGCCCACACTCGGCCGTTATAGTATGAATCAGTGTTGGACAGAGTATCATCTTCAGCCGTGGCATGAGTGTGTCCTACCTCTTCTACCTGACCCCCACTCTGTGCAGGCTGGCTCAGTTCCTCACTCACAGTCGTAGGGCAGACGGCGGGAGGCTCTGGTCCGGGGAGCAGTTGTGTAGTCCCTTCGCTATCTCCATCGTTGCTGGCTTTCCCGAGCTGGTCACCGGCATCGGCCTCGGCGTTGTTGAGGATGCTCTCGGGGTTTGCCATGGCCATGGTGTCTTGCTCGTCCAGCGCCTTCCACACTTCGTCCGGAATGTCCCTCATGGCCATGAAGTAGGATAACATTCCTGTACTGGATGCCGTCACCACTGATTGATCTGACACTTCTCCTCGGCACCATCTCTTGTAGAGCTCCTGGGTTGCTGGTCGTCGTAGGTCGTAGGGCTTCGGGTCCACTTGTTGTGCTTTTTGTCTGCTGCTGGCGGCCTTGAGCGAGTCCGGAAGGTTCGCCTCTGGGATGATCTTCCCATTGTGCCGCCAGACTCCTGGATCTTCTGTCTTCGTCGCCTTGATATGTATTTGCACTTCGGCCCCACGGTCCAGCTCCCAGTCCCATGCCCTGGTAGTTGTTCCATCTGTTACACACACACCCAAGCATAGTCGCTTCTTCGGGGGTTCCCACGTGAACCCCAGGGCCTGCTGCATGGTGCGTTCGTCCTCGGCGCGGCACTCCTCTGCTTTGAGCTGTTCCTGGTGGTGGGCTACAGCCTCTTCGAGGCCTCTCAGGTACATTTGCTCTGCAGCGTCCTGGTGGGCCTGCTCTGCTTCTTGTAGGGCACGTTGTCGATCGACCGCCTCCTCGTACTCTCTCAGGTTCTTGTCGATCTCCTCCTCATTGGGCTTGGTCTGTCCTGTGATGCGTCTCCACCAGGTTTCCACCCAGTAGCCTTCCACAATCGCCTGTTCATCCGTGGACTCTGGCGGTGTGTCCACAGAGAAACTGATGAGGAGGGCCTCGAGTTCGGCTCGGTCCACTGCCATCTCGCCGTCGTGCTCCTGCAGTCGTGCCGCCAGCTGTATTGCTCGACTGCTCGCGACCCTGATGTCCATCTTATTGAAGGCTGCCTGCAGGCGGCCCATCATTGTGTCTTTCTGTGGGCTCAGCTTGCCGAAGTCCAGGGTGGTTTGCATGTAGATGCTCTCCTCACTTTCTTTCTGGTCCGGTTCGTGGTCGCCTTCTTGGGGTTTGTCTGTGGAGCTTCCTGATCCTTCCAATCTTTCCCGAAGCTCTCTTGCTCTTGTCAACGTTCGGGATACATCTTGTTGTAGTCTGCCGAGGAACGATGGGAAGGTATCGACCATGATGTTGTGGTCCCCCGGCGGCTTGTCCACCAACGTCTCGACGATGTTATCCGCCAGGTGCTGTGGTAGGACCGGGGTGTCCTCTTCGGCGATGCCCTCGTTGGGGGCCATCTCGAATAGCGCCTGCCACGTGGCTATGGCTTCGTTGTAGTCGAGGGGGCCCGTGCTCGTATTGGCGATGGCTTCACTTTCTTGGCATACTTGTGGTGGCGTAGTTGGCTCTGCAACCTCAGCGGCTCGTGGTCGAGGTCTCGGCTTAGCCCTTGGCGGTGCCTTCGGTGGTGATCTGCTCGGCTCTCTGGGGCCCTGTGGCTTGAGAGGGGGGTTATTCCCCTTTTTCCATGGAGGTGTAAGTTTTCTCACCTCCGAGCTCTTTCTTTCAGGTGGCAGCTCTTTCCACAATCTCGTTGGGCTCTTCTTGCGGGCCGGGATGTTGGCGCGTGTTGTGTCCATCAGAGAAGTGGAGTCACCCGTGCCCTCGTTGTCTTGCACCCGCGGTGGAGCGGCTGAAGGTGACCTTGATCTCGTGCAATGGGTGGTGTCGGAGCACGAGCTACTCGCTTCTGCATCGGTCGAGTCTTCGTGCCACGGTTCGAATTGCCTTCTGTACTCTCGCAGCCATATCGCGAAGAAGGTCTCCTCCACTTGTTCCACCAGTAGAAGTTCTTCTTGTTGTAGTCGGTGCTGGGAGTCCGGGGCTCGTCGATGTCGCCTCGCGAGGTGCATTGCCTCTATCTGCCAAGCTCGGAACAGGTGGTTTTTCACATCTTCGATGCCGTCGTAGTATCGTTGGTCTCCTCTGTTGCGAATTGCTTGCTCGACCTTTCTTGCTAGGGCATCTTCTGGAAGTCCTCGTCGCTGAAGGTTGTTGCCCAGGTCGACCAACGTCCAGAACCACTGCGGTGTTTCGTGGGGGTCCCATGGGTTGTCCACTGCCTTTGCAAGCATCATTCCAACCGGGATGGTGAGCTTGCCTATCAGGGCTGTGTCATCGGCATCCTTCGTGTCCATCACCCGCTCGGCATGAGGCATGGTGTTCGTGTCGTTCTCGTTCTGCCGGGTCCTGTAAGACGAGGTCATTGGGTGATCAGTGCCACGGGTCGTGCTTTCGAGGTGACCGCGGATCGTCTTCCTCTCTGTGATGTGTTTCGCGCCATCTTGTAGTAGGTCTCGTTCCCGGCCTTTTCCTTGTCCTTGGTCAGGGTCTCGGGCATCTTTATGTCCATGGTCTCCCGGGGAAAGTCGAGGTAGTCCAGGTTGATGATTTGGTCGAGGTATCTCTCCTTCGGTGCCGGTGGTCGCATGTTCGTAGTCCACGGGTTGCCCTTCAGCTCGGGATTGACCCTCGCGGTTCATTTTGGTCGTGGTTGATAGGAGGTCCTTGCCATGGGATCTCGGCAGTAGGCGGTCGCCTGTTGCCTTAGGTGCACCATTCATCATCCCATCTCGTAGAAGGTCTTGTGCATGATCGTTTCCTCGTTGCTGCTCCTGGGCTCGTGCAACTTTGTGGCCTTGGTCTTGCGGCGGATGTTGGGGTAGTCCAGGCTGAAGTGGTGGGTGGGATCTCCCTTCATCGTCGTTCTCGATCTGCCGGGTCCTGTAAGACGGTGTCATTGGGTGGTCAGTGCCACGGGTCGTGGTTTCGAGGTAACCACGGGTCGTCTTCTTCTCTGTGATGTGTCTCGCGCCATATTGTAGTAGGTCTCGTTCGCGGCCATTTCCTTGTCCTTGGTCCGGGTCTCGGGCATCTTTGTGTCCATGGTCTCCCGGGGGATGTTGAGGTAGTCCAGGTTGATGATTTGGTCGAGGTGTTTCTCCTTCGGTGCCGGCGGTCGCATGTTCGTACTCCACAGGTTGCCCTTCAGCTTGGGTTTTGCCCTCGCGGTTCATTTTGGTCGTGGTTGATAGGAGGTCCTTGCCATGGGATCTTGGCATAAGATCGCAGTCCAGAAGCTGGCGCATGGCATCCCTCGAGGCAGCGGTCAGGCCTCCAGCTCCCAGGCCGGCAGCGGTGATCGAGACGTTGCCCGAGTTAGGAGGTTGCACGAAGGGACCGGCCCCCCCCGGAAGTTGAAACACCCAGACTTCCGCGGAGGAGTCGTGTCCGGTCCCGTACGCAAGCTGGCCTAAAATCGAGTCTATCGCCATTGCAAACGGCTCCACCGCAGCGGCCGCGCCAGCCGCGGGAACAACGGGCCGTTCCCCGGCTGTGGCGAGTTGAAACTCGGTCACGGTAGCAGATACCCATAGGGAGTCGACATTGATGCCATCGTTGCCGAGATTATCCGTCCATTCGCTGGCAATGAACCAGCCCACTCCATGTCCAGTGGCGGGGTTCTGGGTGGGCGCTGCCGCACCCGTCACGGAGCGCACATTCACTCCTGCTGCCTGCGCCACGTGGTTGGGTGCACCCACGTCAAAAACAGCAACAACAGTGATTTCTCGCGCCAGCAAAGAACACCGTCATAGCTTGATCGAATGAAGCGCCCACGGTCGCAGGGGCCGCTCCTGGCCAGGCTCCGATTTCATGGCCTAGAGGCGCAGGGGCAGCTGCCCCAACGGCACGCACTGCCACAACCACTCCATCTATGGTAGCGTTCGCGTTGCCAGCGGTCAAGGCTGTGAGGTAGGAAGTGTAGGCTTCAGCAAGGCTTGTCACCGTCGCCAGATTCGAAGTGACAACCCACTTGTGCGAGCCAATCGTGAGCCTTCCAGGAGTGTTTCTGGCAGGGGAGCATATGTTCACCGGTCCAGCTACTCCGGTCCATCCGGCGGCGACAAGCTGGGCCTGGGCAGCAGCGCTCGGCGTCCAGGCTGGAGCTCCGAGGACCTCGTGAATCGTGTCGTATTCTAAGACTAGGTAGTTCGCTGCGATGGCGGCTTGCGCATGTGTGGCAGGGTCCAGCGAGCCATGAGCCGCCACAAAGGCATCTGTCGTGCATTGCGCAGCTCCCCAGGGCCCACCGGGCGTGGTAGCGTGATCGACCCTTAGGGTGTAGATCCCAGTACCGTTCCACTCTGCAAACGCAGCGGCGTCCTGTGGCAGAATCCCATTGTAAATGGTGATGCGACCGTGCTCCAATGTCGTGCTCTCCAGTGCTGTGTGGTGGGGGAAGGGAAGTGCCCTGTCTACAGCACCTGTAACGCCGCCAGATCTGCGGGTCGCCGTGCGATCTGGCCCAAAGCCAGTGCGCACCAGCGCCATTGGATCGACCCTGGGCTTGTGCTGCGAGGCGTGGTCCCTCTCCGTGAATCACAATGCTGTACGCAGCCACTTTGAGGGGGTTTAGGGTTTAGGAGTTTAGGGGTTTAGGAGTTCAGGGTTTAGGGTTTAGGGGTTAAGTTAGGGTTTTTTTTTTTTTATGGGCTCTTTTCCGCCTGCAGATACAGTTAGAACTCCTATACTAGGAGGAGCCAGTGGTTAGGGCCTCATTGTGCAGACAACAATGACATCATTTATAACCCCGGATAACCCCTGAGGCCCCAACCAGCTTTGCCACTTTCCCTTTTGCGATTGCTTTGGCGACTCCGACTTTCCATGTGGCACCACATGACCTAATCAAGTCCTGCATTACAGATAGACACAGATATCACCACTATTAGTCGCTCGAGTCGCTCACATCTCTGTCTTCGCTTGGATGACCATACCGTTCAGCCCACACTCGGCCGTTATAGTATGAATCAGTGTTGGACAGAGTATCATCTTCAGCCGTGGCATGAGTGTGTCCTACCTCTTCTACCTGACCCCCACTCTGTGCAGGCTGGCTCAGTTCCTCACTCACAGTCGTAGGGCAGACGGCGGGAGGCTCTGGTCCGGGGAGCAGTTGTGTAGTCCCTTCGCTATCTCCATCGTTGCTGGCTTTCCCGAGCTGGTCACCGGCATCGGCCTCGGCGTTGTTGAGGATGCTCTCGGGGTTTGCCATGGCCATGGTGTCTTGCTCGTCCAGCGCCTTCCACACTTCGTCCGGAATGTCCCTCATGGCCATGAAGTAGGATAACATTCCTGTACTGGATGCCGTCACCACTGATTGATCTGACACTTCTCCTCGGCACCATCTCTTGTAGAGCTCCTGGGTTGCTGGTCGTCGTAGGTCGTAGGGCTTCGGGTCCACTTGTTGTGCTTTTTGTCTGCTGCTGGCGGCCTTGAGCGAGTCCGGAAGGTTCGCCTCTGGGATGATCTTCCCATTGTGCCGCCAGACTCCTGGATCTTCTGTCTTCGTCGCCTTGATATGTATTTGCACTTCGGCCCCACGGTCCAGCTCCCAGTCCCATGCCCTGGTAGTTGTTCCATCTGTTACACACACACCCAAGCATAGTCATAGTCGCTTCTTCGGGAGTTCCCACGTGAACCCCAGGGCCTGCTGCATGGTGCGTTCGTCCTCGGCGCGGCACTCCTCTGCTTTGAGCTGTTCCTGGTGGTGGGCTACAGCCTCTTCGAGGCCTCTCAGGTACATTTGCTCTGCAGCGTCCTGGTGGGCCTGCTCTGCTTCTTGTAGGGCACGTTGTCGATCGACCGCCTCCTCGTACTCTCTCAGGTTCTTGTCGATCTCCTCCTCATTGGGCTTGGTCTGTCCTGTGATGCGTCTCCACCAGGTTTCCACCCAGTAGCCTTCCACAATCGCCTGTTCATCCGTGGACTCTGGCGGTGTGTCCACAGAGAAACTGATGAGGAGGGCCTCGAGTTCGGCTCGGTCCACTGCCATCTCGCCGTCGTGCTCCTGCAGTCGTGCCGCCAGCTGTATTGCTCGACTGCTCGCGACCCTGATGTCCATCTTATTGAAGGCTGCCTGCAGGCGGCCCATCATTGTGTCTTTCTGTGGGCTCAGCTTGCCGAAGTCCAGGGTGGTTTGCATGTAGATGCTCTCCTCACTTTCTTTCTGGTCCGGTTCGTGGTCGCCTTCTTGGGGTTTGTCTGTGGAGCTTCCTGATCCTTCCAATCTTTCCCGAAGCTCTCTTGCTCTTGTCAACGTTCGGGATACATCTTGTTGTAGTCTGCCGAGGAACGATGGGAAGGTATCGACCATGATGTTGTGGTCCCCCGGCGGCTTGTCCACCAACGTCTCGACGATGTTATCCGCCAGGTGCTGTGGTAGGACCGGGGTGTCCTCTTCGGCGATGCCCTCGTTGGGGGCCATCTCGAATAGCGCCTGCCACGTGGCTATGGCTTCGTTGTAGTCGAGGGGGCCCGTGCTCGTATTGGCGATGGCTTCACTTTCTTGGCATACTTGTGGTGGCGTAGTTGGCTCTGCAACCTCAGCGGCTCGTGGTCGAGGTCTCGGCTTAGCCCTTGGCGGTGCCTTCGGTGGTGATCTGCTCGGCTCTCTGGGGCCCTGTGGCTTGAGAGGGGGGTTATTCCCCTTTTTCCATGGAGGTGTAAGTTTTCTCACCTCCGAGCTCTTTCTTTCAGGTGGCAGCTCTTTCCACAATCTCGTTGGGCTCTTCTTGCGGGCCGGGATGTTGGCGCGTGTTGTGTCCATCAGAGAAGTGGAGTCACCCGTGCCCTCGTTGTCTTGCACCCGCGGTGGAGCGGCTGAAGGTGACCTTGATCTCGTGCAATGGGTGGTGTCGGAGCACGAGCTACTCGCTTCTGCATCGGTCGAGTCTTCGTGCCACGGTTCGAATTGCCTTCTGTACTCTCGCAGCCATATCGCGAAGAAGGTCTCCTCCACTTGTTCCACCAGTAGAAGTTCTTCTTGTTGTAGTCGGTGCTGGGAGTCCGGGGCTCGTCGATCTCGCCTCGCGAGGTGCATTGCCTCTATCTGCCAAGCTCGGAACAGGTGGTTTTTCACATCTTCGATGCCGTCGTAGTATCGTTGGTCTCCTCTGTTGCGAATTGCTTGCTCGACCTTTCTTGCTAGGGCATCTTCTGGAAGTCCTCGTCGCTGAAGGTTGTTGCCCAGGTCGACCAACGTCCAGAACCACTGCGGTGTTTCGTGGGGGTCCCATGGGTTGTCCACTGCCTTTGCAAGCATCATTCCAACCGGGATGGTGAGCTTGCCTATCAGGGCTGTGTCATCGGCATCCTTCGTGTCCATCACCCGCTCGGCATGAGGCATGGTGTTCGTGTCGTTCTCGTTCTGCCGGGTCCTGTAAGACGAGGTCATTGGGTGATCAGCGCCACGGGTCGTGCTTTCGAGGTGACCGCGGATCGTCTTCCTCTCTGTGATGTGTTTCGCGCCATCTTGTAGTAGGTCTCGTTCCCGGCCTTTTCCTTGTCCTTGGTCAGGGTCTCGGGCATCTTTATGTCCATGGTCTCCCGGGGAAAGTCGAGGTAGTCCAGGTTGATGATTTGGTGCCGGTGGTCGCATGTTCGTAGTCCACGGGTTGCCCTTCAGCTCGGGATTGACCCTCGCGGTTCATTTTGGTCGTGGTTGATAGGAGGTCCTTGCCATGGGATCTCGGCAGTAGGCGGTCGCCTGTTGCCTTAGGTGCACCATTCATCATCCCATCTCGTAGAAGGTCTTGTGCATGATCGTTTCCTCGTTGCTGCTCCTGGGCTCGTGCAACTTTGTGGCCTTGGTCTTGCGGCGGATGTTGGGGTAGTCCAGGCTGAAGTGGTGGGTGGGATCTCCCTTCATCGTCGTTCTCGATCTGCCGGGTCCTGTAAGACGGTGTCATTGGGTGGTCAGTGCCACGGGTCGTGGTTTCGAGGTAACCACGGGTCGTCTTCTTCTCTGTGATGTGTCTCGCGCCATATTGTAGTAGGTCTCGTTCGCGGCCATTTCCTTGTCCTTGGTCCGGGTCTCGGGCATCTTTGTGTCCATGGTCTCCCGGGGGATGTTGAGGTAGTCCAGGTTGATGATTTGGTCGAGGTGTTTCTCCTTCGGTGCCGGCGGTCGCATGTTCGTACTCCACAGGTTGCCCTTCAGCTTGGGTTTTGCCCTCGCGGTTCATTTTGGTCGTGGTTGATAGGAGGTCCTTGCCATGGGATCTTGGCATTAGACGGTCGCCTGTTGCCGTAGGTGCACCATTCGTCATCTCATCTCGTAGAAGGTCTTGTGCATGATCGTTTCCTCGTTGTTGCCCCCGGGCTCGAGCAACTTTGTGGCCTTGGTCTTGCGGCGGATGTTGGGGTAGTCCAGGCCGAAGTGGTGGGTGGGATCTCCCTTCATCGTGGCCTGTGTAGTCCTGGTACTCGCGGGGTTCGGCTTGCCCCCCACCTCGGGACCACTTTCCATTGCTTCCGTAGTCGTTGATCTTTGGGTCGCGGGTGCCACGTGGTCGTATCTGCCAGAGGTCATGGTCTGCCTTCTGTGTGGTGTTCTCCATCTCAGCTGGTTGTAGGTCTAGTGCCTGATCGTGTATGTGTTGTTGTCCCGGGTCTCGTGCAGCTTCTGGGCCGTGATCTTGCGGCGAAGGTTGAGGTTGTCCGGGTCGTAGTGCTGGTGTGCGAAGGTCTTTGTCCTTGTTGGCGACGGTCGTGTTCTCACGGTGCTCGAATTTGTCCCCTTCACTGATTGGGTCTTCTCGCATATAGGTCGAGGGGGTCTCTGTAGTTCTGTCCGCGGTTGTAGTAGGGGCAGGCGAGGTGTCATGTCGTTGTAATCTTCTCGGTCGAGGTGCTGAATTACCATCTGCTCTGCCCCAGCATGGACATCTCCGAAGAGCATCGCCTGCGCGATCATCACGAGCGGCATGGGCGACATGTTCATGATTGCAGGGCTTACAATGGCCTGCCTTTCGCTGATACGGGTTTGATCAACAGGCTGGGCGGCGTCACTCTGGTCAGGTCAAGTGAAAATTAGGGTATTCAGGTTTAGGGTCGTATCTCAGCCATCGGCGACACTGGCGACCTACTGTCACCTGGTCACTGAAATGCACAGCGGTACCTAACTAGTGAGACGGCAGAGCTAGTTGTCGTCCTGTTGTCCATGCTACGTCTGTGTTGGTAATCCATTGTTGTCTGAATGTGTTCCAAGCCTTCGTGTCCCTGCATGCTGTTCGCCAGTCGTTGCTAGAGCATGCTTTGTTCAATGCTTCCTCTTCACGAGTGTGGTATGCAAAGAATGATCCTCTGTGGCTTATGCCGGCTTATGCCATCTGTGCATCTCTGCTGAGCTCTCCACCACTGTAGTGTCCTGAAGGAGTCCATGACTGAACTGGCTGGCGGTCGTTCCCTTTCAATGGCTCGGGCAATATGACCTTTGTAGTTCCAGAAGCGCTGGAGCCAGCATGTGGACCACCTTTCGACCCCTAAAGAGTGCATCAGGCTTCGTGCACCTCTGAGCGACCGTAGGCGGAATTCAAGCCATGTCTCCTCGGTCCTACGCCTAAACCCGGCAGTCTTGGCAATGAGTTCCATCTGGAGTGTGTTCATGCTACTCATTGCCTGTGGTGTCGGTGAGATGGCAGAACAGTACCAGAGCGCACTACCCCCGACTACCGAACTGAACATCTTGAGCTTACCTCTCAATGGGGGCCTGGCTGTGAAAACCTCTAGGTTCGCGTAGAACTTCTTGGTGGCTTTGGCCATGGCTGTGTCCATGAGTTCGGTGGGTCGTAGTGGCACTGCCAAGGGAATTCCGAACACTGCGAGGTTCGCGGCCGGCTGAATGATCTCTTCGCTTAGGGTAATGGGCCCCGGCGTCAAGGAGTGAGGCGAGTGGTAGTATGCTGTCTTCTCGGGGTTTACTCTGAGCCCCCATTTGAGGAGTTCTTCTCGCAGCAAGTCGTATTTGAGGACCATCGTGTCTTTCGAGCTGGACCATAGTAAAGTGTCGTCCATGAAGAGCAACTCGGCCAGTGGCATGTCTGGTGCTGCTGGTATGGCAGATGGCCAGGTGGGCCGGTTCATAGCATCGTATAAGGCTGTCTCAACCGCGATGGCGAACAAGAACGGACTTTCTACTGATCCTTGGCGTATTCCTCTCCCTTGGGGAATGGTGGCATCCCCCCACGGGGTTCTAAGTACTGCGGTGCCTTCGAAGAAGAGTCTCTCCCAGCATTTGTATTCCAGAAACATGTGGGGAGGAAGGCGGTCACGCAGGATCTGTAGAGTTCGATCTCGCCCCAATGTGTCGAAGGCCTTTCTGATGTCAATTCTGCACCAGCTCAGACCCAGTTTCCACTCAGTATCCAGGGCGAAGCTTTTGACAGCTGCAAACAGGTAGTCGCATGTTTGCCTTCCATTGTGAGCGCATTGAGCTGGTCCCAATGGATGCAGATGTCGCCTCGTTCGCATGAGCAGCATAGTGCCAAAGATCTTGGCCGCTGCTGCCCCGACACTGATGGGCCTTAAATCTCCTGGCCCTCGTGGCTTTTCGGTCTTAGGTAAAAGCGTAACCACTGTCCGAAGCCATGCCTCAGGTAGCTCTTCACCGCACCTTAGTCTTTCCATCCACTGAAGAAAGGCTTCCTCGGTAGAGGGATCCTCGCATAACCCTTGCAGCAGTTCAAAGGAGACCAGGTCTTCTCCTACCGACTTGTTGTGTCTACCTCTCTGGATGGCTTCTCTTAGATCCTGCAGTGTGAAGTGTTCACCCGTGTCGATATCTTTGTTCCACTCAGGGGGGTGTCGGGGTCCTTTTTTTTGAAATAGAAGACGGAAGTGCCCGACCGTCCATTTCATGGGGTCCTGTTTGTTGTCTTCTGCTGCTTGGACAAAGTGCACCGTCCACTCTGATCCTCCCTTTGTTTTGAGGTTCTTGTACTCTTGCCAATTTCCCGAAGCAGCCTGTTCTGTTTTGGCAGTACGCCATTCCACCTGTGCCTTCCGTCTAGCCTTGTGTGCAACCTTCCAGTCGCTCTCAGCCCCTGTGAGCTTGGCCTGTCGGTACAAGTGCTTTACCGCGGCGGGATCCTTGTATCTGCTTCCTGGTCTAGGCTTTGTGAACCGTACTGCCATGTCCTGAAGTATCTGCTGTGAGAAGTGTTCTACCGTAGGCAGCCTGGCTGTGACCATTCGGGGCCTCGTAGGAATTCTTTTCTGAAGGGCTCGATCGCCGGTCCTTAGTAGGAAACTCGTGTAGAGTCTTTCATGGTCACCTCCGATCAGTTGCTTGCAGGTGTCTACCTCAATGACAGTGTCCGTCAGCCTGACCCCCTTGTATGCGAAGCCGTCAATCTGTCGTCCTCTAGCTCTCGCTCTTCTTGGCCTACTTGTGGGGGTATCCCATTGGGTTTGTGATGGGCTTCTCATCTTCATGCCGCATCCGCCTAATTGTGAGGCAATGTATTCTGATCTGGCTTCGGTGGCGCGGAGGTCGCCCTGGGTTCCTGAGATCATCGACCACTTAAGTTGGGTGTTGAAGTCTCCTGCCATGATCACGGGCAGCAGGGTAGGTGGTAGGAGGGCGCATACTGTCCTAAGCTCTTCCGCAGTGACATCGCTGGTTGTCCCCGTACTGAGGCGGATGCTGGAGAGCCATAGTTCGTTTTCAGTAGGTAAATGGCGAAGTCGTAGCCAGATGCCAAATCTGCATCCTCGCCTACGGAGTACCTGGTAGTCCTCTGAAAAGCCAATTGCGTTCCCCCTCCATTGGTTGTCGTCGTGACGATACTGGATGATTGTCATCCCGTTCACGACGTCCGTCTTCCACCCCGTTGGCTGCCTTGGAACTTCTTGTAAGCATAACAGGCTCTTTGTTGGCCCAGCTGATCGTCGGGTAGACTGTACAGCATCCTCCAGGGACGTTCCCGCGATATTCCAATTTGCAACATGGACTTCAATGTGAGACTCTTGTCCGAGCTTCGCCTGAGGCGCGCTGCTGATGGAGCCACATGGTTCTGGTGTCATCTCGACTTCCTGGCAATCGCTGAGTAAAGGGTAGAAGCGGTTTCGGCTGAGGTTCGGGTCTTCTGCCTCCTCGTTGGCAGGATCCCCAATCTCAGTTTCGTGTGACGTGGGTGCTGACAGCCTTAGGCTTGCACCTTGGGCAAGGGGTGTTGACTCGGAGTTCAAGTTATCGAATTGTGGGGAACGCCTGTCGTCAGCGCTTCCCTGGCTTGCATGCAGAGGTCGGCCAGTGGCCAATTCAAGCTCAGTTTCGGGCCAGTCTTCTCAGAGGTTCATGAGCTCGGTCCACTGCTCGCACAACTGGTCCTGCGGTTTCTTGAGGACTGTGGCTAGGTAACCGAGATCAATCCAGCTTCGAGGGAGTTTGCCTGGCGTGCAGGCCGTGTGAGGTGGGCTCCTGTATGCACTTGCAACGAGCTTGTCCTTGAGCCAGACATTTCCAGCTGCATATTCGGTCTCCAAGGAGGTCTGGAGTCCAGGCGAAATCGTCAGAATCAACCTCTTGGTTTTTCCTGCATGATTCGAGATCAAACGTTCCTCTCGGCTCTTGCCAAGAGTCGCTCTCATAATCTTTCCCGGGTCCATTCCCTGGGTGTGGATGTTCGCCTTCTGAATCTGCTGTGCCACTCCGATAAGTCGCTTCTTCAGCTGGGTCCCGGATTCATGTGGGTCTGTGGCCAAGAAGGCCATGAGAAACCCTCGCCTGGGCCCAGTACAGAAGTAGTCCTCAAAGGCATCGGATAAGCCTAACTGCGCCATGGAGTCTGTGAAATCCTTGAGTACAGTCTCTCTCCGTGTGTCTTGTGGCCACCCCGAGATGATGAGCAAGTTTGGTCGGCCAGGGTCAGAAGCTGTAGTGGAACTAACATTTCGGGTATCTGTGCCCTTCTCTTCCAATGCTGCAAGGCGCTCTTCCATCTTGTCCTGAGCATCACGTAGTTGCTCGATATGGTCTGACTGTCGTCTCATGTCTTTCTTCATTGCCCCCAGCTCTTTGAAAGTTGCCGTCTTGAGGTCCAAGAGGTCTTGCTGGTTACTATCTTGAAGTAGCTTGGTTTGCTCCACAAGAAGTCCTCTGATATCGTCCAAAGTGATCCCTGCCGCCTTCGGTTCCCCTCTGTGCCGCGTAGGTGAGGGCGGAGGTGGCGCCCCGGCTCTCTTTACTCCTCCTGAACGGTCTTCTTGGTTTTCATCTCTCCCGTCCGCCCGGTCGGCGTAGTCGAGGTCCATGTCGGAGCCGTTCGGGATGGGGGTGTTCATAGGCCCCGATTTCGGTCTTGCCGCTGGCGCATTCTGAAGATCGATGAGATCGGTCATCTCGCTCGAAATCTCGCGACCAGCCGGGAAGAGCACAGGAGGGAGCGAAATTACGGGGCAAGGCCTGGCGGGGACGTGGGGACACGGCGACTTTGAGCTTGAGCCCTGGATCTTGGGGTTTAGGGTTTAGGAGTTTAGGGGTTAAGGTTTCAGGGTTTAGGGTTTAAGTTAGGGTTGTAGGGTTTAGGGTTTTCCCCACCACGTGCCAACATCCGACGCCATACTTCCAAAGTCTCGGACTGATTCGGGAACAAGAAACAGAACTTTCCAAGGACACTGAAAAAATGACACCCTGAAAATATAGAACAAATTGCTGCAAAACAACACCACCAAGAACCATAAACAAATTAGACCATTGAGGAAAATATTGAAAGTATGAAAACATGAAACATAAAAAACAATAACAAAATCATGAACATATAAAAATGAAAAAAATACATCAACATAAATCAATAAACCAAATCCAAAAAAGTTCGAAACACAAGCAAGCACTTACAAACAATCAATCCACTACTACTAGTACTAGTACTAGTACTAGTACTAGTACGAGTACGAGTACGAGTACGAGTACGAGTACGAGTACGAGTACGAGTACGAGTACGAGTACTACTACTAGTACTACTACTAGTACTACTACTACTACTACTACTACTACTACTATTACTACTACTACTACTATTACTACTACTACTACTGCTACTAGTAACGAATTAGTATTGGAAATGCTCCTGCTACTGCTACGAACAAACCTGCTGTTGGCGATGTTGTGGTTACCGCTGTCCCTGCAAGCCGAAGGCAAACAGGCGCCTGTCATGGCAATGTGCAAAATTGCTGCAAACAGCCGGACTTCAGCGGTGAGGATGTCTCTCGTCGCGAAGACGGTAGGCGCGATCTTGGACAGGTACTCGATATTCTCCATGTACGAGAATCCTGACAGATTGCATGTGCCACACACACACACACACACATTACACTGCACACATCACGAAGGTAACACGGGCCTCAATGCCGAATGCAGGAGCACTGGCCTGAAACTAGGTTCTCGTAAACCCTCATAGCCCTCCCGAACCACAAGAACACAAATGATTTAAGCCGAGAGCAACAATCTCAAAAAATGACCTCCACAAAGACTGACGAGTTGTTCAACTTCCGAAACCACCTGATGTTGATAATGTGGAGTTAATACTAGATGTTGGAGGGCAAGGCTAAGGTCCAGATAGATCAAGATGCAAACGAGCTTTAGACCCCAACTCCCCACCCCCCAAACTCGAAGCCGTAATTTCGGAGCCTTATTAAATAGGGCTTTTGGGCTATGTAATACCATAAGTACATGAACCCCAAACCAGGCAATAGCATTTGCATTTATGCAGGAGCCTTGAAGCTTGAGCTGGAAGGTCTGAAGAAAGCAGGGAGAACAACTGATGTATAAGGAGACCCTGACCCCCACACCATAAATGGACGCGCTAGGAAGCCAGAACCCAAAACCCGAAACCTGCTGGGATGCGCTAGGGTTCCGATTTGAGATGATTTGAGCTGACCTCGCGTTGAAACGGAACGAACCTCGAACAGCACTGACCCCTATAGGATTTAGGGCTGAGGGTTTAATTAATTAGGGTTTAGGGCAGGGTTTAGGATTCTCACGTGTTGATGAGGTTTGTTTTTTTTTGATATATTGCAGCGGGATCAGAAAACATGAGCATGCCGACTGAGGGATTGGAGCATCTGTGCTCTTCACATCGCCAGCTGGTCGGCGACCATGGACGTCGTCAGGGGTTCGAGACTGTGTGCTCTTCACGTCGGATGCACTCGAAGACTCCAGATGACGAAAATACCGTATCATCTAGCTTGCGAAGGCCGAAGAATACACGTTTCATCATCATGATCACCAGGGTCATCAGCATTATCAAGCATCATAACTCTCATGAGCATTGCGTGTTCATCTGCATCGAAGTCGGGGCTACGGTGGATCGCAAATGTTCACACGTCAGAAACTTGTTTGCTGAGTCGGTATCACACCGTCATCTGACTCATGCCATCAACCCGAAACCCAAACCTCCAAACCCTAACCCCTGGGCCCTGAACCCTAACGCCTAACACCTAAACCGTATCATCGTCGACATCACGAGGTGATCTTGTCGGGAGGCTGCCACCTGCAATTTTTCCCGGTACCCAGACTGAACTGAAACTAGACAATTACCTGGAACCCCAAGCCCTAAACCTTCAATCATCGGAGGTGTTTCGAGTCTAGGTTCATCCTTAACCCGGAATAACCTATATACCTTTTTCAGGACCCTTACGTATAAGGAAATCATAATGAGGAACCTGAAAAAGGTAGGATATTCAGGATGACGGATAGGCTGGAAATCAGGGCACAACTAGGTTTAGGGGCCTGATCGTGTTTACAGGGGCATTGGTTTCGCGCACTTTGCCACGGAACTCTGAACCTCACCATCAAGCACTCCCTCGCCCAAAAAAGGCGAGAATCCTGCTCCCACGGACATGCCACTCAGAACCACCACCACGGGGGAGGCCGCGATTTTCCTTTCCGGCGACATGTTTTTGGCTTCAGGCTGTATGTGAAAGTTGTGTAGTTTAGGATATACAACACGAATGGGGACAGAGGGTTGCAGCAGCGGCAGTAAACCTGACAACGGTACTAACAATGTCAAGACAAATGGCAGAACGCAACAAGCCTCATGCAAATAGGTTGCGGCAACAAATCAGTGGTCGAAAGGATCGCACATCGGAAGTTTACACAGAATCAGCAGCCTTCAATGATATTCAGGCAAAAT